TCAATCTATTACCAATCAATAACAACAGATAACTTCTATTTTATGCATGCTTTTAATCAACCACTCACCCAGAGGATCTCCAATCCCAGGAAATGCCTTCTCCTCCTTTAATGAGTCTGTCCTCCTTCCATGCCCTGGTAACTGGTCCATCCAGAGCCATATGATCTCAAATATACATACGACAAGCCAAACCACACCTTGGTCACACCAACCCCCTTTCCACCCCCAAGATGTCCAATGCCATCCTAGTATGGACTGTCAAAAGTGGCTTTAACGCTGACTGTTCTGACAATCCATTTTATAACGTTCCTGGTCAGATTTGCCAATCTCTGCACCAGAGTTTTAAACGTTTCGCCATTTTCATTAGGTTTTATCTTTTATTTAGTTTCGACTCCAGATTTTCAATTTTACCAGTTGTAATTAGTTTTTACCAATTCTTTGCTAGTTTAGTCTAGTTTTTATTTTCTGAAAATCCTTAGTTTCAATTTAGTTTTATTTGTGTTTTACAAAAGTTAAGTGTAACAAAATCCCAGTTCCATCATATCAGTCATGCTCTTCTGGTTATCCTTGGGTGTTGAGACTAATAACTATTAACTCTTGCCGCACCGTGTGTTCCTAATTTTGGTTGAAGTCAATTGATAACCTTTTGAAGGCGATTGTTTCACACCTTTATTTAGATGTCCCAGTCCTGTTATCTCGGGATACATCACGCTGCCTTATCTGGGGTTAGCTATTTTCTTGGGATGCGAGTTAAGTGGGTGAGCTCTTCAACGAGGGGGAGCGTGCTCCCCCTGATGAGGTCTTCTAGGTAAGCTAGGTTAACCTTCTTGTGTGAGCTTTTCAAGTGCACTTTTAAGGTTTGTGGGATTTTTTGTTTTATAAATGTCCCTCAAGACCCCCTGATGACCCAGTAATTCATTTTTTGCGCACTGTAGTACACATTTAGTTTTTTGCTTGTAGCTCTCATACTCTACTTGCCACTCCTCTAAGTCCTGATGTTTCTTAGAGAGGACAACAGTACCTTTAAAATTATGTCACATGTGTGGGGGTGTGGCCTTGCCAATTGTTTTTCCCACCTTTTCAAAATGGCTGGCGTGCCCACCAGCACATTTTATGGAAGAAAGAAAGGTAAGCTTGATATTTACATTTAAATGTTTTGTTAAACTCAGATTATTTTATTCAAAAAATAAACATCTAGTAAATAATTTCAGGGGTCTTTAAGAATTAGGCTCATTTACTTTCACAGGGAACATGACTAATTTATTAATGTGTGCTCTACACATTGGGACTTTATATTTATATTTATTTCACTTTTTCCTAATACCCAACTTTTGACAAAGGCGGAGAGAATTCTTAACACAATTATTAAGGGAGATTCAAACATAGATTTTTCAAAATATGAGAGGGTCAGGACCCACTAAAAGCCACAGAGAAGATTATCGAGATGCAGTGGCAGATGTAATAGAGAAAGACACAGGGCCACCTGAAATCTGTCGTCCTATCTGGTGCAAAACCAACATGTAGTAGAATCTGGAATTTTGATTTTGAGTTAAAAATAAAATATGGGTAAAATGCAGAAATCTTTTCCAGTAAAGTAAAAAAAAATAAGTGTCGCAATTATAGTTGAATCCATAACACCTAATTGTTTCTACGAGATCACGTCGTTGCTGAGAGTTGTCAGTGATCTCAATGTGTGAAAAGAACTCACAGTATCTGGGGTTTAAGCTCCTCTTGGCTGAGAAACCTGGGACAAACATGTGAACAAGACCTGAATAATACCAGTAATGAAGACTTCTCTCCAAAGATCAATAAAAGGAAGCCCCAATCAGATGAGAGTCTAGCAAAATATGGTTCACTCCACTTGCCTGAAATGGTTAACAGTCCAAGGCATTTCAGTTATAGAATGGTTGGGTGTAACAATGAAACAGATGTGAGATGAGGGAAGTGCCAAATGTTCCTTTGTGTCTCCAAATAAAATCAGTACTTCCTCAGATATCCTAAATAAATTGACTTTTGTGAAATAGAAAGTTCAGTGCCATCACTTATTCCTAAACCAATAGTTTACAGCTAGTGAAGTGTCAGTGACTTCTGGGTTGGTCCCTGATCTTCATCTTATGAGATTGTTATTTTAATAACACTTGATTCATTTAAAAGAAAAAAGGAAAAAAAAGTAAAAAGAAAAAACGAAAATATTTTCTCCCTGTTTTTTCTTATTCTCTGGGTCTCAGGAGGACATTACGTCCCTCTCCACCACAAGACTCTTGTTATGTCTACAAAACAGTCATATTAAAATCATCCTCAATTCTATTCTGGCGCTGTCTCCCGACTTTTCCTGACCTGATTCTGCGCGTGAACGGAGCAGCAACACAGACGACTCGACTAACGTACTACCTTAATTTCACTATAGCAGGGCACGCACACATCAATGCAACCAAACACATTTTGCTATAAATCTAGTTAATTTTAGTTAGTTTTGTGAACATTCAGTACAGTTTTAGTTAGTATTTCTTTTTTTTTTTAATTTTATTACCGTTAACACAAATTTTTCCACTTCTACTTTTCGTTATTTCATTTGTTGTCTTTAATAATTATAATCTCCTCTGCACCCTTGAATAAACACCATTAACATGATCAACCTTTTGCTGCTTGTTATTTCACCATGTTATTGAATCAAATACTTCATGCTTATGTGGTTTACGACATTATATGTATCTAAATCTCCACTTTGTGTCTAAATGTTTGAAGAATTTTTGAGGGTCATATTTTGAGAATTTGACCATAGTGAAAGTTATGGCATTATCACCCCCTTTGGGGATTACCTGTTTCCAGTTTTGATGATATTCCTCCCCGTTCTTTATTTTTGCAATACATACATGACACAAACATCACATGGGGAAGACAGGTCAGAGAGGCATAACAATGGAAAATGCACCACATGAGGAAAGATAAGGAGAAAAAAATAACTCCCCCAGACTGAGCTCCAACAGGGAGATCAGTTTGAGAACAGAAAAAAAACACCTCTGCACATGAAAAAACTCTTAATACACGAAAGAAACACATGACAAGCAACAGGGATGGGTAAAGGGTGAGAGACAGCCAGTGTAGACAGTACATCCAGGCCTGCGTGCGCTGGTCTCCTTGATCCACCGTCAGCATCGGAGGGGAATAAGCGTCGAAGGCGTTTGGAGGGGGGAGGAGTGTACATCTGCATGTGTATATATGTCTGTGTAAGCGTGTGCGTGTCCAGAGTTCAGCTGAGACAGTGTCCTCCTCCCTGCCAGGCTAAGTAAACAGTCTTCCAGCCAACCCAGGTGGCCTTGCATGGAGTGGGAAGAACAGTCTAAACACAGTCGTTATCAGGGAGTTGTTGTTCGGCTCCAGCCTTGAGCCCACGGCTGGGGCCGAAGGGGTATCCGCATAAGTGATGGAGGTTTTTACTTTAGTGCGAACAGCTCATATGAATTTCAAAGCTGTTCTAACACTCCGACACTGGTCTCTCAATCTCCCGTTGGAGAGCCGTGAGCTTCTCCATGATGTTATCAAACTTGCGCTCCGTGATGTTGTCATTCTTGTGCTCAGAGAGCCGATTCTGAGAACTCAAAGACACGACGTCGTAGTCTCACTCCAAGCGCTTTATTTGTTACGCCATTTTTCTCCACACCAACAACAACCCTTCGCGGGCAACAGTACTCTCGCAGTATAACAGAAAATAACAAGTTAACAACGACCGCAGTGAGCTTCTCCAAGATGTGATCCAATTTGCACTCAGAAGTCTTATTCTGAGTATTCACAGCAGCCGTAAGCTTCTCCAAGATCTTATCCATGCTGCACTCAATGAGCTCATTTTGAGAAACTCACGCCTCTTCCCATCGTTTGAATCCCAGCGGGCAGCCTTGTGGGGGTTTGAACAACTGGTTCCGCTTTCTTAATTCTTCGATAAGTCAGGGCCAAGCCAGCTCCGGTCAGCAAGAACCCTGTTACCACGGTTCAGAATAGGTAGATATCTTCAGCATTCAGGCTCACCCGAGCCCAGACTTCTCGTTGAGAAAGGGGTGTCAATTGCATTCAGAGACCAGTTGATCAAATCCATAATTCTCTTTTAGGTTTTAGAGAACAGACTGTGAGAGAGTGTTCCAGGGAAAAGTAATACAAAAAACACGAGAGTAAACAAGGACACAAGAGGCTAAGCAGGGAAGCTAAGGGAGAGGAGGAGAGGAGAAAAGTGCGACTGCCTTTGTTAAGAGCAAAACTCTTTGAATGCTGTAAACACACCGTGTTTGGGTGGCTGCATCCCAAAAACACCACAGCAACACTGAAGTCTGGAGGTGGGAGCATTATGATTTTGATGTTCCCAAAAAAATGTGTGATTGCTTAGAAAAGTTATGCATAAAAACTTTATAACAAGCTGCAAAAGGGACTGAGCCATTAAATCTAACTCCAGGAAGGATGAATGGAGACATTGTTGATTAAAATCTGCTGCCATCTACCAGGATGATGAAGATGAAACAAGGATGGATGTTTCAGCAAGACCATGATCACAAACACAGCCAATGGAAACTGTTGGTTTCAGAGGAATCAAGTAAAGCTGCTGGAACGGCCCAGCCAATCACCTGAGCTGAATCTGTGGGAAGGATCCACGGAGCATTCGGGATTTATAGACTGTTTGTGTGGTGAGTGGGTCAAAGTCATGAGCAATGATGGGACTGGTTTCTCCATACAGAAGCTGCCATGAACTGTCATCACCAACATTTGTATAAAGTAATAAATAAATGTCTGTGTGTTTAATGTCCCTGTGTTACCGACATCTGGTGATAATTTCACATCAAAGCACCTTTAGAAATATATTTGCTTAGAGAACTGCTGACGTGTTCAATACTTATTTTACCTGCTATAAAATGAAAATGTTAATATGTGTGACATCTTTAAAATCAAAGCAGCACGAGCCTGTGAGGTACCCACCCACAAATAACATGGTTATTTACCCACCGGTAACGCTACTCAAGGACAAACTCCTGCCAGAGGTGTCCAACAGCCCGCAGCCCACCGTAGTAATAGTTGACCAGACACACACACAGAGCCAGACGGTAGGTCAGACTGTCACTGGGGGCTGACTTCAGCTGGTGGAAAAGCTTCTACAACGAGGGAAAAGACCAGCATGAAATCAAACAGCAGGACACCAAATTTAATACATTCTAATAAAAATCCTGACAAAGTACTGACAGCACTGAGCCTGTCTTCACTCTGAAACTTATATTGGACCTGACCTGAGTGTAACCTTGAGTGTGCGAGTGGTGAAGAGGCAAACATACATAATCAGAGGTTTTCTCTTGCTCCGATGTCCCACTGGAGTTGGACAGCTGAGTGTTATTCTTACAGTCAGACTTCTCCACAGCAGCATCTGGAAACAGATACTGAGACACAAACACAAATAAGTAAGTCTGTCATTTAGAAACTCTGTTGTTTTATAGATGTTAGAAGAATTAAACAAGTGGAGCTCACGTAGTCATCACTTCATGATAAAACACAGGATGCTGATCGCTCAGTGGCAAAAGCAGGATGTGACCAGAAGTAGACAATAAAAATAAGAACGCTGCCTGATATCCTGTTTAAGATGACGCTCTTGTGCTTTACTGAGCTGCTGTCAGATGGGATCAATATCTGTGGCCAGCACTCTAAGACATAAATGCAATTATGGCTGTAGTTTTAAGATTCAAGGCTGTCTTAGCTCGAGCTCGAGCTGCTGAGTGTGACGGGCTCAACAGTGACCAGGAAGGAAAAACTGTTTGTGAAAAGAAGCAGAGGAGCCACATCAGTACGAGTCAAACTACCAGACGGAGGAAGTAGGAGGCCCACACAGAGAACAATGAGGAAAAAAAGACACTTTATTTGTCCTTGATTATGTTCTTTCTATCGGTAGCTTGATTACATCCGTCTTATCTGCTGCGTATCATTTGATGCATGAATTTTAGCTTAGAAATAGTTTCCTCTGTGCTGTTTGGACAAAAAACAAAGCCATAAAAAGTCTTCACACATCACACAACAATGTGTATGTTTGTAATGGATCCAAGTGTATTAGCAACCAGAAAAATACAACATTAAGGTCAGTGCACTTAATGCACTGACCTTAATGTAGTATGTAGCGGTGTGTTTGAAATCTGTACTGACTAGTAAAACCTCTGTGGTCAGCCCCAAAGCATCATGGTCTCCGTTCCTGAGTGTCCCACTGATCAGTTTAACTTACCCAGTAAACACTGAGGATTTTCAGCCGTCCTGACTCGAACTGACCAGTGAGGAGCTTGAAGAGGGTCGAGGTCACTGTTGGGTGATAAACAGAGTAAACAGTAGAGGAGAGTTTCTGATAAACTTTTAGTTAAAGGGTTTTTATAAGTAATGAGTCATGTTTGATTACATGTGACGTAGTCCTTCACCAGTAATCAAGATAATTACACATGTAAGCATTTCCTTATGTCACACTCAGTTTGTCCCTTCATGCTTGTTAGACCTGTGCCAGCTCTGTTTGGGCCTTACAATCAAACCCATGTACTTTTACCCTTTTAATAAACTGCTCCACCCATTTCCTACTTTACGAGTGAAATATGAAGCAATGCAGTGTGTACACGGATGCAACACTCAGTGCTCAGCGCAGCGTTTTGTGTGCTATAGTGCAAGTGAACAGCTCACTCCCATCAAAGCTTTTCCATTGGATCGTTAACACAAACACCAAATGTCAGGAGGACATGCGCCTCAAACTGGAGTTGTCTTTCTAGCCCGGGTACTGTGTTATCCTTGTCTGTATACCGAGCTTCTTATTAATAATCAGCTCTGCACAGGAGCAGAAGCAGAGTCCAGCCTGTTGCTCTTACAGTATAATACTCATAATAAAAGTACAGTAACCGTGGTTAGTCACTGAGCAGCCCGGTGCGTTTCTCTTGATTTCTTTAGTCAGGGTAAATTCATTCACCTGCACGGGTTAGCTAAACGAACTTTACAAAACAAGTTTCCCCGACAGCCGAGTGCTCACCTAAGGACCTAAGTTACGGATTAGCTTACACACACATTTAACTTACCGAAAATAATACGGTGGGGCCTCAGGTCCTCCTGTCTGGTAGTCCAATTTACTGAAGAACACCTCAGGCTGTCACTTTGAAATAGTCGGTAATGTAAACGCTGGACCTCTCAGCATCTGCCATTCCCGAACAGACACATGCAAGTTTGTCCGTGACCGCAGCCGCGCTGTACATTTATTTCAGTTTCAATATTTTTTCGGTTTCATTTCAAGGTGGCATCGTTCTGATCCCATACACACACACATTGATTTACAAGTACAAAATATTTATGAGCACAATTTGAGCCCATATACTCTCTCTACCACAGCTGCCTTTGAACTTGCCTGGCCAGGTCTGAGTCCAGCTTTGCTACTCCTGCCAGGTCACATGACACAGGGGTGTGCTGTGATGTCAGCAGGCAGGTCAGTGGAGCCCTCTGGTGATGGATATATGGCAGTGAAACAGGAGGAGGCCTGAGAACAGACAGCAGGCGTAACTAGCAGGACAAAGTAGCATGTAGTACTTGAAGGAGTCATCACAGCCAATCAGCTCTCAGGAAGATGGAACATCATATAAATATTTCTCTTCTTTGATTTTCATCAATGTATTTCCTTTGATAGATTTTCCGTCAACACTTCTGCTTGATTAGAAGCTCATAGGCAGTTCCTGTCACTCTACGATAAAACAATGTAAAGGCTGCGCTCTCTGCCCTCCCTAATTTGACATATTTTGTTGTTTTGTGTGTGTGTTTGTGTGTGTGAAGTTTTGATGTGTATGTGAAAAACACAATTTTGAAAACACTGGAAAAAGACCTCAAGACATGTTTTCCTTTACTTTCTATGAAACAAAAATTCCCACCAAGGCTTTTCAGTGTGAAATTTAGTGTATAGAAAATACCTGTGCCAGGTTGTCTCCATCTAGTGGTGAACATGGCCTCACCACTACATCAGGTGAGTTTTTCACTGTGCACAGTGACACAAAAGTCATTTAACAATTTTAAAAAAAGCAATGTTACAGATTCAGTAAGAACTGAAGTTTATCATAATCCTTCAAGTTTCATTCAGTAACAGCAGCTTTTTAATATTATTGACTATATTTTAGAGTCACATTTATATGAAATGTCAAACAATCACAGAGTGACACTGAACTAAACAATCAATGCCATGTGAGTTGTTCTTGTTTGTTCTTTATCTCGGATTTATTGTAAGCAGCGGGAGTAGAAGCTAAAGAAAAATAGTAAAGATATGAATGAATCTCTGCTCTTACAGCTTTTATTGTGCCATAATGTCTGCTTTGAAACCGTCCTCTTGCTCGTCTCTTGGATGCTCACCTCTTCTTCACCTGTTCCTTTCACCAAACTGCTGCACTCTCGTTCTCTCCTCTCGCCTCCTCTTCTGGTTATAATTAGGATGCAGTCAGCATGTGCCAAACAAACTCCCCCCAAATCGATCATGTTTGATATGATGATGACGTTTTTAACATCTTATTTATGCACTTGTTGGGTGGGAAAGAGTAAACAAAGATGGGGCATAGAAGCAGAACTGAGTCCTACGTGTGGAGGGACAGTAACTGTGTGTGTATGTGTAAGCATTTAAACACTGCAGAGAGTCAAATTAACAGTAACACTATTTTGTCTAAGTCCACCATTGTAGAAATTCATTTCACCGAAACAATAACATGGCGCACAATGTGACAATAAACGTATAAAACACAAATTCTTACCTAGCAGGAGAATAAATAATCAGTATTTTAAGGCTACTGCATGTATAGATGTCACTGCTTGCTCACATAAGCTAGCTCTGAGACCCGCCAGAGTTTACGCCACAGTTGACTGTCGCGAAAGAGTCGTAAATCACCGGCATTGTAAAACTTAAAATGATTCCAGGGCTGTTATAAAACACCCAATAGATGTACTGGATATTAAACGGTATCAAACGACTAAATGAACACAGGGTTACAATTACATGCTCACATCGTTCAACAATGTTACATCCAGTTGAAAACAGCTTCACTAACGCCAGCAAAACAGGCTAACAGTATATAAGAGCACAAAAACAGCTGTGCTTATCAACAGCTCGACATATCCTCAACAACTCACCTCAGTATGTGTAACCCGTTCATGTGTTACGCCTGTTGTTCTTGCGTTGTGTTCTGGCGTGAAAGTAGGAGGCAGGAGACAGTACTGGGTCTTTGGCTCTTTACTGCACATCTGCAACACAGAAACATGTGTCTGATCTGTGTGTGTCACGCGACTGCCAGTACACCTCTCCTCCGGCCATGTTGAAAGGAGCTGTGTCTGCAGCTTCATTAACACTACAATAATATAATGAATCAAATACAACAAATTGTTTTAAAACATTAACTTAAGCTCTCAAAAACAAAAAGCACAAAATAAATAATATGTCACTGAAAAAAACATCAAAAACAACTTATAAGAACAATAAACAAAATAATTCAAAAACAAATAAACAGTCAGATAAATACAATTCAATAACCAGGACCCAATATTCTGGTACTTATAGTTCAAACATTATACTTCAGTACAATTATATTAATAACCGCCATCTAACAGGCAATACAACACTGTACTTGTAAAAACAATGAATGAAAGACTGCATCTCCAAAACATAAGAACATCTCCATACCTGCAACACAGAAATATGTGTCTGATCTGTGTGTGTCACGCGACTGCCAGTACACCTCTCCTGACGAAGGAAAATATGGAACGCCAGGACTGCCATAATGAATTAATTAAATACACCATTAAATAATTAATTAAATGTGGCAATAATTAATTAAAATTGGAATTAATTAATTAAATAAATAGTTATGACACATGTAATTAATTAATTATTGACACATTTAATTAATTATTTATGTATTTCACATGTTAATTAATTATTGACACATTTAATTAATTATTGACACATTTAATTAATTATTTATGTATTTCACATTTTAATTAATTATTGACACATTTAATTAATTATTGACACATTTAATTAATTATTTAATGATATATTTATTTATTTCATTTTGGCAGTCTTGGCGCCTGGCTCTCGTCATGAAATAATTTTATCTGTCAGCCTCACCCATCAAACTCAGGGGGCGGGTTAACGCTGCCCATGCAGCTTCTCTAACATTTGATTGGTTGCCGTGCAAAGTAAGTCAAAACAGGTCGATCCTAGATAATCGATTGCTTGTGTAGACTTGGGGCAGCCAGTTATCCCAGAATGCAGATCAAATCACAGGCAGCAATGGTGGTGGTGTAGTTTTAAAATGCCCCGTTTTTCTGTCACCAGCTACACTTTTAACAGTGTTTTAGCTGCGAATGTCGCGCCGTATGTCTGGTCAGGTTGTCAACATTGAACATGTTTGCAAAAGTGCTCAGATGTTTTCAGAGATTTCACTAGCTCTGCTAACAGTTAGCATGCAGAGCGCACCGAGGGGGTACATTAACCGGTTTGTTTACATATTCCACTCTCCGTGTTCCACATGTTGCATTCGCAGATTCTCATTTTCACCGAACGATCGTCTCTTTCCGCCTGGTCTTGTGTCTCTGTGCTTCTGTAACATAAAGAACGAGCTGACATTTTTCTCACGAAACCAGCGATCAGCTCAACAGACCCTCAGTTTACCTGCATGCATCCTCCTCCTCATCTGTCAGCTGTTTAACACCTGCTGCTAATTCAAGAAACACGCCCACGTTACCTGGTGATAGTCACAGTTTAACTGGGCAGCCGGTGCTCGATATAAAGCAATGTCAGCGCATTTTTCTGCACAAGATAAGTAAATATAGTATTTTCCCCGAGCGCAGAGCTGCTGGAGCTTGTTTCCTTACAGAGCACTTTATAGGCGAACAGCTTTATCAGCGGCTGATGTCCAATCACCAGCACACAGCTTTCAAACCTCAGCTGAGTTTTAGCTCTCAGTGGTTAAACCCTGGACTTCATTCACTCAGGTTCTGTCTGTCGGGTCACGTTTACTTCGCTGTTTTATTTACAACTGAGCAAATCGGTTTGGCTGAGGTTAAAGTTACGTTTCATAACTGCATAGTTTCACAGACGTTTAATGGTTCACTGGCACATGTGTTAGACTGAACTATCATCTAAATATCATCTGTTTTTTAATAGTTATTCAACTGTATTCTAAGCACCAGCTGTCTGTTAGAATGTGATTTTTTTTCTCTCTCTGTTGGCAGAGGTATAAAAATGCGCAGGAAAATCTGACGTGCATGGCAAACTTCACCGACGATATTTAGGGAGGAATAAACACACATCAAACATAAATGAACCATTTGCCTGTCTCCATAATTGAGAGCATTTTCTCTTCTTATGTCAACACTCTCTCTCTCTCTCTCTCTCTTTTTTTTTTCTTTTTTTTGCTTTTTCGGTCATGTTATGTTTACCTGTCAAAGGCTTGTTACAAACTATGAAACACATTGTGCAGACTTCTGGATGTTAGAAGAAAACTAATACTGCTCATGAATGAGACTAAAGGCAGGAAGGTGTCCTTTAAAACTAAACATGTTAATAGGACCTCCCTGTTTATATCATAGTTTATGATATAGCACGTGTATTTCAGTAATAGCCTGCTGAGGCCACTATACGTGCTGGCCTCATATCAAATGTGAAGGCAGACTGAGTCTATGTTTGACGTTTTTTATATCTAATCTTCCTTTTCAAACATTTAAACAGCAGCGAGTCTGCAGCTGAGGGAACACAAATTCAAATTGTCGGAACAGGTTTGCTCGTTTCTTGGATTCATTTGGTGATTTATTAAATGTATAACTGTTATTCTAATCTGCTGCCGAGTCTCTTACACTTTTCTTTATGCTGTATATTTTCACGTCTCTGGAATAGTTGGCAGTTAGATAGTCAGCTGGGAAACTCTGTGTTAACTCATGGAGCTGAGGATATCGTGGATATGCTGACCTCGCTGCGTGGTGTACAGAGCGAGGTCAGCATGATTAATATTCACAATAAAAATATTAGCCGAACATCATGAAGTCTGTATGTGTTTCATAGTGTCGAACAACCTTTGTACAGTTAAAGCCAGCAGTTACTACATGACGGAAACACCAACGTTATCTCTTTTATGTGTTTATACACAGGTCACGCTGATTACTGAACAAAAACCCAAAGATCAGATGTTAAACAGATTTATTTGCTCTCTCGCCTCCTTAAACATGTTTTTAATGTTAGTTATAATTCAGAATTGGCGACTGAAACACGTAGGACACATAAGAACATCAGGAAATAAAACACCGATAAATATAACCTCAGTAAAAGAAGTCAGCGGGGGTTACTACAGCTGTGTACCGGGGCCTGCGCTTTGTCGGTGGGATTGCTTGCGAGGCGAGCGGGTCTATCCCACGCTTTGCCGTGAGACTGGAACGACATCTCCGAAATCATCGAAACACTTTTGCAAAGAGGCTGTATCTTGACAAACCGACCAGACACATGAAGATTAAACCACTGCATTCTCGGCTAAAAAAATATTAAAACGGTATTTGGTGACACACAAAAGGGTTTTTCAAAGCTCAGTTCTGTTAGCTTCCACATGCCGGTTGTTGTGTGCTAGAAACAATGGCCACCAGGCCAAAGCAATGGTTTTGACTCGATCAGCGTTAACCCCGCCCCCTGAGTTTGATGGGTGAGGCTGACAGATAAAATTATTTCATGATGAGAGCCAGGCGCCAAGACTGCCAAAATGAAATAAATAAATATATCATTAAATAATTAATTAAATGTGTCAATAATTAATTAAATGTGTCAATAATTAATTAAAATGTGAAAAACATAAATAATTAATTAAATATGTCAATAATTAATTAATTAAATGTGTCAATAATTAATTAAAACGTGAAATACATAAATAATTAATTAAATGTGTCAATAATTAATTAATTACATATATCATAACTATTTATTTAATTAATTGATTCCAATTTTAATTAATTATTGCCACATTTAATTAATTATTTAATGGTGTATTTAATTAATTCATTATGGCAGTCCTGGCGTTCCATAGGAAAAGAGTGCATGCTGTTAAAAAAAGACTGCCGCGAGTAGCCGCTAGCAATCAGGCTAACTTAGCATGCTAGCATTTTAGCTGCGTTCTCGGCTAAAACTCATAAGCGTATATTAGTGAACTCCGCCCTCCACAAAACTTATCCCGAATGAGTCTCTTAATGACAAATAAAAACGCGGCGGTTTGGCTGTATTCACATTGCAGCTTGGGATCTGAACAAACTTTAATTAGCTGAGGGCAACGTGGCAGTGACTTACCTCCGGCCATGCTGAAAGGAGCTGTGACCGGGGCACACATGCACGCGCCTACGTCACCACGCAGCGCACACACACACGAACGCACTATACACATATGCAGCATATTTATTTTACTTGGTTTTAGAGTTGGAGTATTTACATATTGATCTGAAATATTTTGCTGCTGAGCAGCAGAGTTCCAAAGCGTCCCCCTGTAACCATGGTTACGCAGATGCATTCCGACTGTCACGTCACCGAGGAGAACCTGTTTCAAATGTATACCTGGATCAACCTGCAATCAGTTTGAAAAGTTTTCTGCTGAGATCCGCAGCTCGACTTCCTGGCACCCCGGGATAAGATGAGTTGCTGTGTTTTTCACGGAGAAAAAATAACGTCAGTGTTAGATGAAAAAAAAAAAGATGCAAGCAGAAGAGGACAGCAGATTGAGAAGAGATTTATTCAAACGGTAAGGAGCTTCTAACAAGTGATATCTGATAAGCTTAAAACTTAAATCTTAAATCTAATGTCCAGATTCATGCTAAACTTTTCTGATTACTCCGTGTATCTGCACCGTTAGACTTTTCATCGCCACTTTACGGTAACATACTGGCGTCACTGCTGCCAGCGTCATACCGTGACGCCGTGTTACGGTAGCTTACCTTTCTGCAGGATGATACCGTTTTTTGCTGGTGTGGTATAATACTCTTGGACAAATTATGGTAACGCACCGTAGCCTTTTTTACGGTATCTCACTGGCGACAGTTATGTCAGTGAGATACCGTTATGTCGTTATGTCGTAAATTACGTCAACAAAGTAACATGTTATGATAATAACTTGGTATACTACCGTTTATTCACGGTATGTCACTGTAAGCCCGCTGCAAGGTAATAAACTGCAATATATTAACCAGTAACTTACCGTTATCACGCATCATCAGTACCAAAAATATTCATCTCTGCTAGAGGACACCGTGTCCTAACAGGCGGTCATTTACTCTTTTAAAAGGTCGTAATTTACCGTAATTTCAGTTAACAGTAACATACTGTAAGAGACTGGAGGGTTCCAAAAAAATTGGATGGATGGACACACACACACACACACACACAAACACACACACACACACACACACACACACAAAATATAATTCATGTGCTTTGCACCACTTTATTTCAATTCTGATTCTTCCCTGCTGAAATACACATTTCCAAAATCAAAAACTGAAAAGAACTGAAAACATATTTTCATTGAGGAAGCACTTGTTTTTACTAAACCATGTAATCCATTATTTTCTCAGATGGTTGTACAAACAATAACAATATTATGTCATATCCATATCATGGCAGACAACACATGCTCAAGTGTTGGGTTTCCTTACTTATATTTTGTAGGGTCTCAAACCTACAATGTGAAGTGCCTTGGCATTCATTTTGTTGGCACCATACAAACAAACTGAATTGTAATGGATATAATATCAAGCCCCACACGTCTGCCTTTATATACACTTTGTCCAAAATACTGGCTCACACGACCAAATCATTGCACAAAACAGGGTCCACAAGGACATGGATGAGCGTGTGTGGTGTGAAGGAACTTGACTGACCTGCACTGAACCCTGATCTTGCTTTGTGGACTGAGTTCATTGATTTGTAGGGTGAGCCAATACATGTGACAATTAAAGTGTAAGTAGCTGAAATAATTTTTAACAAACGGGTAAAAGAAGGTTAGCACTGTTGCCATACAGCAAGAAGGTCCTGAGTTCAATTCCACCATCAGGTCTTTCTGTGTGGAGTTTGCATGTTCTCCCCGTGTTTGCGTGGGTTCTCTCCGGGTACTCCGGCTTCCTCCCACCGTCCAAAGACATGCAGCTTGTGGGGATAGGTTAATTGGATAATACAAATTGCCACTAGGTGTGAATGTGCGAGTGAATGTGAGTGTGAATGGTTGTCTGTCCCTGTGTGTTGGCCCTGCGACAGACTGGCGACCTGTCCAGGGTGTACCCCGCCTTTCGCCCTATGACAGCTGGGATAGGCTCCAGCGCCCCCCGCGACCCTGAAAAAGGATAAGCGGAAGCGAATGGATGGATGGATGGATGGATGGGTAAAAGAAGGAAAAAAAATCAAAACTGTTGCACTCAAAAAAACCTATTGGACAGAGACAGCGTCTTGCAAGATGGCGAGAGAGCTTGTCTTCATTGTTGCTCGTCTTGTGTAAATGTCCAGAAAGCATGGGCCATGGACAGGGGTGTCACTAGGTTTTAAGGACAGGGGGGGCTTAGCCCCCAAGAGATGCACACGACATGAACGAACGTAGTGAATGAGCACAAAATTTCACAAACAGAAAACAAAGACTGAGAAATTGTTTTCCTACTTTTTTGGACAGATTAAACATCCTAGGCCACCAATAGATCTATTGTTTTATTTCAGTCTGCTTTATAATACAGTACAACAAAAAAACAGAGGAAATGTGTTTGCTGCATCAATAACAAGAAAAAAACTGAAAATAAAAAAGTACATTTTTCTGGCTGCAATCACCAGTTACTTGGTGGGTGGAAGCATCAAAGAATGACGTCTGTTTTTAAGAGTGGCAAATCGGTCAATCACTCTGTTGTGACTCAGATGCTGAAGCGTGTCTTTTTCAATAGACATGACTGCAAGACTGTGAAGTCTTTTCTGACCCATTGTTTGACGCAGCCAGGAGTGCAGCCGACGCAGTGCACTAAAGGACCGTTCGCACGAGCAGCTGCTGACAGGCACTGTTAGGGCAACTTGGATGGTTGCCTTCAGAGAGGGAAACATGTCTGAATCAAGGAGGTTGTACACAGACAACATATTTTTGGGTGGACATCCAGCCTCTGTTTTCCGGGTAAGAAAGTTTCTGGCCACCAGAACCTCCTCTTTTTTCAGGTCAAGTCTGTAGTGCTTTGCAAGTTCATTCAAGTGTGGTTCACTCAAGAAGTTCTCAGATTTAGGACTGCATGCCTGGACGCCTTTTAGCAGCCCTGCATCTACACTGCAAAATCTTTGATCAAGCTCGCCAACCATCCGATCCACACAAGGGAAAAGTAACTCTCTTTTCAATGTGTCTGAGTTGTTCAATTCAGTGCGTGAACCCACAGTTGCCTCCAGGACAAAATCCTCCATTTTCCTCTGTTTGTGCCTTGTCTTGGCACCTGGTTCAGGGATACTGTGGGTGTTACACAGGGCCTTGGTTTTCTCATACAGCTCTGTAGCAAATGCATCTGAGTGTTTGCCCTTAAGTGTGTCACACACAGCTTGTTTGCAGATAAAAGCTTCTGCCAGGTCTAAAGTCTCTTTCTGCAGGAATTTGTGGAGTCCTTCGGTTACAGACAGAATCGACTGAAACATCAGTAGTGCATAGACTGCTGAGAACTTGTAGAGCTTTGCTCTGAGACCAACAGCTATGGGGGATCCAATTGCAGATAGGCACTCCAAAATGGCAGGCAATGTCTCAAGAACTGCACTGATTGATCGCAACTGACATGCCCAGCGAGTGTTTGAAAGTTGCACAAGCTCAGTTTTTGTCAATCCAAGCTTTGCCTGAGTCTCCATGAACTTATGATGATTGACTAGGGAGGTTCTGAAGAAAGAATACACACACTCCAACAAGCTGAAAAGCTCCACAGCCTCTGGGACAGCCTTGCAAGTATTGCACAAAACCAGGTTGAGTTGATGAACATAACAATGCACATAGATAGCCTCAGGATGGAGCCTTCTAAAATGTGCTTGTACACCTCCAGTGGAGCCACTCATAACGGCTGCACCATCATATGTTTGTGCTACACACTTAAGCTCTGCAAGACCATAGTTTTGGATCTGCTGCTGAATCTCATTTGCAATGGACTGGGCATCAAATGATTTTATCTCTGCAAGTGCAAGGAAACGCTCCTTCACTGCCCCTCTGACACGTACCTGACACAAACAGCTAACTGCTCTGCCTTTTTATCCCTTGCCTCATCCACCATGATGGAATAGACTTTAGACTTTGTCATTTCAGATACAATGACACTAGTAACTTCCTGGGCACAACAGTCAATCATGTCATTCTGGGATGTTGGTGAGATATACTGTGCATTTGATGGGGGATTATGTTTTTGAAGAAAAGGATCAAACTCCTTCAAAAGCTCCATGCACGCAAGAAAATTCCCTCTGTTTGGGCTGTCTTCACCTTCATCATGACCACGAAAAGGGAGTCCCTGTCTCCCTAACATAGAGGTGACTGCAACAATTCGTCTGAGATACTCTCTTCTTTCGACTATCTCACTCACATTTGCAGTTGCTATCACCTGTGCAACGTTTCCCTGTTTGCTAGTTCCCTGGTAGCTTTTCCATGTAACAACACTGTCCTTATGTGTTTGTGCCATCTCATGCTTGCCAAAGATGACTAAAGCTTTCTTCCAGTTCTTGCAACCGTTACTGACCAAACTATCATGTTTGATGTTTTTGCCAAACACTCTACATGGGAAGCAGAAAGCTGCATTCTGGTTGACTGAATATTCTAACCAGTTGTGCTTTTCAAACCAGCTGTGGTTAAATGCTCGCTTCTGTGTACCAAAAGTATCATGTGGATAGCTCTTCAGCTTCACCTGTCTGGGCCCTGTGTCTTTGTCACCTAAATCAAACCCTGTAGTAGAATGAGTTGCTGCAGCTGCTTCATCATTTTCCCTCTCTTGGCCTGTTTGCTCTCCTCTCTCTGTAATAACTTGATCTTCCTCTGCCTCTCGATCTATTTGCTGCAGCTCCTCTGTCTCTCCTTGCTCTCTCTGACTTGAACTTGCCTGTTGACCTTTTTCTCCCTCAGCCACTCCTTCTGCCTCACCCTTCAAGATACATTAAAACATACTGAATTGTAATGTAAATTGCTAATATCATGACTTCTGCTCCCGCTCCACAGTAATTTGTTGCTCCCAAATATTTTGAAGTTACAAACATTATATTTTGAGCACGCATGTGACTAAAATGGTTGCAATTTAAAGCCCTGAAAAATATTACTAAATTACTTGAATTGAAGTAATATTAAAATAGAACCCTCAAAAATATGTGAGTCAGGCTAATTTGACTTATATACATATCTCTCTC